CACTGGGGTTGCCAATAAGGAAGGTGTTCAAGTGTGTTGCTTTATGAATGATCCGGGCCTGAATGGGTTGTACAGTCCCTAAAAAAAAGTACAGTGACCCCTCGGTTAACAAACTCAATCCGTTCCAGAAGGTCGTTCGTTAACCGAAAAGTTCGTTAACCGAAACCATTGTTTCAATGGGTTTTTGGGTAATTAGTTCCAGCTCACCGAAAATTTCCTAAATTCAACAAAAATGGTAGAAAAGTTCACTTACTTTGAGGTGTGTTTGTAGAAGGCTCCTGGATGATGATGATGATGATGATGGGATTTAGAATGGGGGTGGAGGAGAAGGAAGAAGAGATCATCATGGGATTTAGAATGGGGGTGGAGGAGAAGGAAGAAGAGAAGGCATTGGGGTGGAAGAGAAGTCACCCCATGGCGCGATTTCACCCATAAAATTTTAGTTCTCTTGGTGTAATTCAAGATTATTTTCTTTAAATCAACACTGTACTGCATTATATATTGTCAATATGTAAAATATATTTCAAATTGACCAATAATTTGCTTGGAACACAGAAAAAAAGTGTTTAGTTGAAGAGTCTCAAGCAAGATGTTACCTCCAGTGAAAACAGAGAGAGACTAACGTCTGTTTGCTGTGTTAAGAGGCTGGATGCCGCGCATTAAACTAGTCACTTTACCTTCAATTATGTTCAATAATCGTTAAAATGACTAAAAATTGTATATTGAACTTTTAAAATTATTGAATAGTATAAACTTCTTGATATTTACTAAAATTGTAAGGAATTTAAGCCCTAGAACCGATTAATGTATTGGCGGACTGATACTAAAGCTGGTTGCCCGGTCAGTGCAAGCGAAAACATGTTGAGGTCGGTTCGTAAGAAATTCGTTAACCGAATTTTTGTTCGTTAACCGAATTGAAGATCCTTATGGAAGGCAGTTCGTTAACCGAAATTTCGTTAACCGAGGCTTTCGTTAAACGAGGGGTCACTGTATTGTAATATTTCCTGTTACTATATTTTGAAAAGCTATGCGAAATACTTTGGTATGATCCCCAGTGCTTCATCTTAAGTTGGTATGCATGCTTGCCATAACAGCAACAGCTGGAGATGGGGGAGGGAGTCGTCTTTGTATGACATACTAAAGACAGTAAGTCCGCGCTTAACCCTTAAGCCCTGGGTTAGGGTGCTGCTGGCATTACCCCCCCCCCCTATGGATAAATCAAGAAAAAAATAAGCTTTAAAAAAAATCAACAAAATAAAATGGCGGGAAAATAGGTGGACGTTCTGGAACGTCACCCGGGGCCTAAGGGTTAACGTCCTCCCTCTTAACTTTGTTTCGGTACTACATCGCTAAACTTTAGAGACCAAAAATTCATTTAACTTCCCGGTGATCCGATACTACGTTGTTTTGTGTCTTCAAGGACTACTTTCTACGGCGCATCACCCTCTCTCATCTGGCTGCGCTACACTCTCTCGGCTTGACGCACAGTCTCAGTGACTCGCCACACTCCTCCCCTCCCGCCACACTCCTCCCCTCCCGCCACACTCCTCCCCTCCCGCCACACTCCTCCCCTCCCGCCACACTCCTCCCCTCCCCTCCGCCCCTCCCTACCCCCTGCCTTACCTCCCTACCCCTGCCCGCCCCACCTCCCCTACCCTGCCCTCCTCTCCCCTACCCGCCCCTCCTCCCCTTCCACCCCCCTCCTCCCCTTCACCCCCTCCTCTCCCTCCCTCCACCTCCTCCCCTCCCCGCCACCTCTCCCCTTGCCACACCTCCTCCCCTCCCCCCCCCCTCCTCCCCTCCCCTCCCCCCCACACCTCCCTCCCCCCCGCCACACTCCCTCCCACACACCCTCCCCCCCCTCCCCCTCCCTCTCTACCCTCCTCCCCTGCCCCCTCCTCCCCCTCCCCCCCACCTCCCTCCCCTCCCGCCCCCTCCTCCCCTCCCACCCTCCTCCCCTCCCACCCACCTCCCTCCCCTCCCCCTCCTCCCTCCTTCCCCTCCCCCCTCCCTCCCCTCCTCCCCCTCCCCCTCCTCCCTCCCTCCCTCCCCTCCTCCCCCCTCCCCCCTCCTCCTCCTCCCCTCCCACCTCCTCCCCCTCCCCACCCCTCCTCCCCTCCCTCCACACCCTCCCTCCCTCCCCTCCTCCCCTCCCTCCCCGCTCCCTCTCCCCCCTCCCCTCCCCCTCCCTCCCCTCCCCCCCCCCCCCTCCCCTCCCCCCTCCCCTCCTCCCCCTCCTCCCCTACGCCCTCCTCCCCTCCCCCCCTCCTCCCTCCCCTCCTCCCCCCCCCCTCCTCCCCCTCCCCCCACCTCCTCCCTCCCCACACACTCCCCTCCCCTCCCCCCTCCCCTCCCTCCCCTCCCTCCCCTCCTCCCCTCCCACCACCTCCCCCCCTCCCTCCCCTCCTCCCCTCCCCCCCTCCTCCCCTCCCACCACTCCTCCCCCGCCCCACCTCCTCCCCTCCCACCCCTCCTCCCCTCCCCTTACCCCCCTCCCCTC